TATATATATCTTTCAGATAGATAGATAGATAGAATCTTGGCTTGGATCATTCATCAGTTTGAAACGTCTCAACAAATGCCTCCTGTTAACCATGAGTTTGTGAACATTTTGACAGAGATACAGTTAGTCTTTACATTTGGAAGAGACACACCGAAAATGGCCAGGTCTCATTGGTTGTCCATCGCCGCTCTCTCTGCCATACTGTGTGGTGGGGTCCACACATTCATGCCAATCACAACTGACCAAAGGCAAATCTCTCACGTTGATATCACTGAGACGGCCATCCTACGTAAGACGGTAGAGGTGTGCCGTGACCGGGCACAGAAGGAGGGGAGAGCCTTTAGCCTGACGGTGAGTTTACCATACAAAAACTGCAGTAGTTACAAGGGACTTTGGCTGAGGGACTCAGAAATAGTACTAGTTTTGGTTAGTGTTGAATATTCAGCACACCTGTGAGTCAAATACAGACAATAACGAACAAAGTAACGATAAGTATGAAGTGACTATAAAATTCAGTATTCACACAATATTATGCAAAAAAATCTACATAGCCCAGCCAGGCAATAACAACCTGTTTCCACTGTTGCAAAACAATGTTGGTTTCTCTTTCTGAGACCATGTAACTATGTAAGGGTTAATTCACACCAAGATCCACCCAACACTTATAGCTACACGTTTGGTCTGCACATTTGTATCTGAAGACAACATTTTAACTTTCTCAAAACAAAAATGTATGAGATCATCCACAAATATTACAGCAATTACTTTGCATGGATACTTTATCATAAACTTTTCTTTACTGTCATAGGTTTAAGAATTAAATGAACAATTTCAAACTAATGTCTGGCTTATGATCTTGGCAATGGGCAGGTTTCAAATGAATAACAGTGACTTGGGTTGTATGTAGGTGTCACGTTGGGCGATCCGGCGAGCGGGTAAGCAGGCTAGTAGATGGCAGTAAGGGGCAAACGGGGTTTATTGACAGGTCCGGAGGCACATCAGGGAAACGAGCACGAGACATAACAACACGCAATGACAGATCTGGGGGCTAATGATTGAGACACGGACTAAATACACAAGACTAGGCAAAAGGAACAGGCAACAGGTGAACACAATCAGGAGTTAACACGAGGTAACGAGGTGGGCGTGGCACACACGAGGATCGTACGGAGCTGGGCGTGACAGTAGGCAAAATGTTTAATCATTGGTGGGAAAATGTAGTTATACCAATAAATACACTTGTGGTTTTTAATGTGAAAATAGCGTCTTTGTGTACAAATGTGTAACCTAAATGTGTAGTAACCGTGGTATTAGTGTGATAATGCACTCTGAACCTGTTGTTTAAAAACGTAAAGTGCATAGTTGGTCAACCCTTACATAAAGGGCTATGAAGGTATATTTATATTGCATTAAATGGTATATGTTTTTCTACACCTTGTGTTACAGATTGACAGCAGATTGTCGGCATCCGCGGTTCAGGCAGCCTGTTCCCCAGGCAGTGACCCCTCCCTGCTGTCAAGCATTAAGTTTAAAGATGCTATCATGAAGGTCTATATGAGCAACTGGGGGGTGGACAGTGGTTCACATTTCAATGACCCTGAGTATCACTTTGCCAATGAAACATTTAGAGAAGGTCGGAATCTTATCACCCAGGGCAGGACTATCGTTAAAAAAAGTGTGACAGAGGAGAGCTTTTTATCAGCAAGAGTAACACTGGGGAAAATATGTCACACCTTGCAGGTGAGTCACAATGTTTCCTGTTTGTACTACTATAGCTTATCGATAAGATTAGATTAGATAAAACTTTGTTTAGCTTTGTGGAAATTATTGCATAGTTCTCATAGTACAAGATTAAAACAATAAAGCTTAAAATACCAAATATAAAGTACAGGTACAAAGACAAAAAATAGCACCTTATTTGTAAAATAAGGTGCTATTTCCCATAGGCGTGGTAAAGTAAGAAGGTGCTATAACTGATTATTATTCTGTCTTTCAGTTTGTATGTGGAAGCATTGTATAAGATTGTATAAGATTGTATAAGATTTCAGTACTGTATTTTTGGATTGTAGCCTTTGATTTTCATGTCCATTTTATTTGTGAGACATGAACAAAATGACTGACTTTGCCACACCGCAGGCTTCTCGGTGCCTGTAGGTAAGGACACACTTCCAGCACCCTTGTTTGCTCTTTTCAGGATTTCTACAGTCACAGTAACTGGATAGAACTGAAAAATCAAGCCGCATTTAGCACCCTGATCAAGCCGGACGTCCCATTCACAAACCTTGCAGGTGATTGGCTGTTACTTCCACCCAGTGCCGCCTCCAGAGAATTTTGATTGGCTTGGACTTGAGAGGCCACTTATGATTATGGTTCCACTTAGAAAATAAAATTATTTTTTGCTATTACTTTGATGTGGGGTGGCAGCAGACTTGGCCATGTATTTACCAGGGTGTATTCTGCATGGGGGTGGGGGGGGGCAATACTTGAGATGTTGGTTGGGTCTGGTATAAAATGTCCTGATAACTGTAAAGTGACACGTAGATAGATGTTATTTTAGTGACGTCCAGATCAGCAGCTCTGATTTGAATAGTCCAAACTCTCCTGCCGCCTCCCCCATGAGATCAGGGCTGGTCCCCAGCACTGAGGCAGCCTTTCTGAGGAGCCTCTTCAGTATGTTGGTGTCTCCTGGTTTC